TATTTATTTATTTGTTTGTTTACAGTATTTTTACCCTGTCCTTAACGATGTCTCAGGATGGCTTACAGCATAGTTTAACATAACAACAAACACAACCAATACAACAAACATAATAAAATCAAATAAATAAATGAAATGAAATGAAATGTGACAAAGCATGACCACTAAAAACTGGTTAAAATATCTAAATATTAAAATGCCAGGTGAATAAAAAGGTTTTTACCTGGTGCCAAAAGGGGAGCACATTACACAGTCGGGACACCACCACGAAGAAGGCCATCCTCCAGGTATTCATTCTCCTAACCTTCGTCAAGGGGGGTTCCTAGAGGAGAGCCTCTGCCTCTGATCTTAAGAGGTGGGGGGTGGCATATAGAGAAGACAACATTCCTTCAGGTATCCTGGTCCCAAGCCATTTAGGGCTTTATAGGTCAATACCAGCACCTTGAATTGGGCCCGAACTTCAATCGGGAGCCAATGCAGCTGATAGAGGACCAGCATTATGTGGGAATAATGACTGGACCCTGTCAGCAGTCTGGCAGCTCTGTTTTGGACCAACTGGAGTATCTGGACCATTTTCGAGGACAGCCCCAGTAAAGCACATTACAATAATCCAACTGGGAAGTTAGCAGAGCATGTGCCATCATTGCCAATCAGTTCTCGTCCAGGTACAGACGCAGCTGATGGATCAGCCAAAGCTGGAGGAAAGCGCTTCTCACCACCACCACAACTGAGCCTCCAGGGACAGCTCTGGGTCAAGGAGTGCTCTAATCTGGATGGCTCTAATCTGGATGGCTCACATTATGACTCCTGGAATGCTGTTGAAATTGCAGCAAATCAAATCTGATCTCGAGGATTCTAAAATGGGAGAGTGGGGAAGGAAGACCTTTATGAGCCCAAGGAAGTCTCTTTATGTACAACTGTACAGTAGTAAAACAGGTAACAGGTGAAGGCTAAAAATTACAGGAAGAGATTCTTGTGAAAATAGAGTATGCATAATAACATTTCTGGAATCCCAGTGAATTGCTTTGAAGATAACAATTCAGAATAATAACCATGTGCGAGAGTTTCTTGTGGCTACTACAGAGTCATAAGCTTGCATCAGTCTTCCAGACTTCTGCTTCAGAACGCAGCAGTGGCAGAGTTCAGATGGCCAGGACCAAGAGAGGAATTTTATGTCTTGAAGATAACAGCATGAAGGTGCTGTCTATTTCTCCATACACATCCTGACAGCCTGTTGTGGAAATTCTGTATTGATCATCACAACTTATCAAAAGGAATGCCAGCGATTTCCTCTTCAATCCTCTTTTTTAGTTCAGCAACGGTTGCAGGATGTGTGCACTTGGCTTTTAAGATGTCCCCACAGAAAAAAATCACAGACAGTGAGATCTAGGGATCTCGGAGCCATGGAATGTCACCGTTGAACACAACCTGGGGACTTCTTTTTTAAGGCCAAACCCATTTCTTCAAAATTACGTACCCATGTTGTAATCGCATGAGCAGACGGGACACGATAACGATGTCCTAACTGGTAATGGTGCCAAAATTCCCTTTGTGCAGCAGTCACACTATCACCATTCTCATAAAAGGCTTTTACAGCAAACACTCATTGTGCACCACTGCTCCATTATAACTAATGGCAAGGGGTTCTAAACAAGGTCGCACTAGTTCCAAACAATTGCCAACGCCCCAGCGTTGCCAACTCCTAGTTCCAAAATTTCCCGTTTCACTGTGCCACCCTGAATTAACCTCTTTATTCAGGCACTGGCCAATGAAATTATGGCCACACACAATGAAACACGGTTTCATAGATTCCCAATATAATATAGGGTAAGTTTATGTTTAACTTGACATATTGAGGAAAAAAATTAATGAAAGGCAACCCCTCCCCCCATAGACATTAAAATAAGAGGTGAGTTCCTGAAGTGAAGTGAGTTCTCAGTGGGAAATGTTTAGACTCAAACAAGCAATCCCCAAATAATGAACATCCAACTTACAAACAACCCGTTCTTACGAACTGCCATAAATCCTATTAAGTTAAAAAAAATACTGCAGGAAATCATCATCAGCACAGAGAGAGGAACCCATAGCGAAGAGAGGGAGGCCTCCAGAACATGTCTTCCTACTCTGATCATCCAGAGAGGGAAATCTCTCAAGACATCTCCCTGGTGCAAATAGGAGGCTCCTAGAAGAAGGCACCACCTTCTTGGTGGTGGGGGGGGGGGGGCTAGAGATAGTTGCTGTTTTTCCATTTTTACAGAGGTCCTGCTCCCTTAATCCGCACAAATGTGAAGGGCCAACTATATGTGATCCAAACTTACATATAAATTCAACTCAAAGACGAATTTCCATTTTCTCAGGAATGGATGGAACTCATTCATAACCCAGGGACTGTCTGTATTTTTTATTGTTTAAGAACTCCCCTAAAAAGGGTTCCACAAAAGTTTTCATGAAGCCTTTGGTAGACTATTAATGGAAAGAACAAACAAAAAAGGAAATACAGAACTACTCACATTTACTGACACTTACCAGTAGAGGGCACTGTGCATCCTTTCTGACAATCAGGGGCAGAGTGATTCCTGTACGGTTTTTGTTTTGGCATATCTTTCCTGTACAATTTTGAATCCAAAAGAGGAATCCGGCTTATGACAGGGGACTGAGGAATGCTTGGAAGAGTCCGTGACTTTCCTAATACAGGTCTCTGCGGCTTTCTGTCTAGTGACCTTTAAAATAATAAGAGGGAGAGAGGAAGGAAGGAAGGAAGGAAGGAAGGAAGGAAGGAAGGAAGGAAGGAAGGAGAAAGAAAATAATTTGAAGCATAAATACTTTTGATCTCAGTCTTGTACTCCTGTTAGTTTAAAAAGAACACACAGCTTAAAAATTTTTGTAAAATAACACATAGAGAGAGAAAACTTGGAAATAATAAGCTTTTTATATTATGAAACCCCTGTGAATTGAGTTAGGCTTGAAAATATACTCAGCCCATTCCCTCCAAACCTTTCCCTTAAAGTTTGGGCTTTTTCCCAGCCTTTCATAACAGCTCAAAGCATTACTGACAAGCAGCTCCTGCCACGCAAGTGCCTGGAAATTGAATTGACACTTCTCAGTGCCCTGCATCTTTTGAACACTTTCCAGAGTCTCCAGCTACTCCAGAAAGGGGAGATAATGGCTCCCACTACAGCCCTTTCATAGCTCTTTTTCAAAAACCTTTTCTGCTACATAAGTACATGCAAATTTAATGGTTGAGAATTAAATGGATGGGAAATTTGCACCCGTTTAAGGGCTAAAAAGTAAAGGGAGGAGAAATATGCACACCTGCAGTAACAGCATTAATTAAGTTGTGCAAATTCCTTTCACTTCTCACCCATTAAATTTGCATCCATTTTTGTGCTTTGATTAAAACTGTCAGGCAACCACAGTAATTCCTGCAGTATCTGCTCCAAAAATGAGCCAAAACTCAGGGGAGGGGGCACCTTTCATCCTTCTGGAGAGATAGAGGGATGTGAGAAACCACATCAGGTTTGGATGACATGGCAGCAAATGCTGCTTCTTGTGATCCGCCCTCGGGCTATGGGGTGGCATATAAATGCAATAAATAAATAAACAAACCTACTATGGATTGTGCGGTTGTGCTGTTACTGTGTTGTTGTGTTGTGCAAACTAAATCAATGACAACCTAGTACCACTTTCTCACATTAAATACAATACAAAAAGCTATATTCAATCTTTTTCTATGGCATCTCTAAGGAAGACAGAGGGGGAAACACTGTTTTTTGCAAAACTATGCTTTCCCTTGCGCATAAAGATCTCTGCTGCCCTCATCTTTTCTGTTATTTGAGCTGGAGTATGTCTCTGGTCCAATCCCCAGCATCTTCAGGTAGGGCTGGGAAAGACCTTTGTCTAAAATCCTGGAGAGTCCACAGCCAGTCAGAGTTGAAAAAACTGAGCTGGATGGAACAATAACCTGACTCGATATAAAGCAGCTTCTGACATTTTTTCCCTGTATATATTTAAAATGCTTTAATTGCTTTTTTGACATAAATGAAGCTCACAGTAATAAAATCTGAAAACTTCTGCTTCAAATACTATTACTTTTAAAACCCTACATTGCTATCAAAGCTTTTATCTTCTGTTTAGTAGCCTTGTTTTTAAACTCTCATTCAAAAACAAATATCCAAACTAATCCAACTCTATCATAATCCTACTTCCTCTTTGCAAATGTCCTTATATTGATGTGATTTAAAAGAAAGACTAACACCAGAGCCAAGAGAGCTTAACATTCCTGCATTAAGGATGCAGTGTGTTGATTTCTAAGCTTCTTCTAGAAGGTGAATAGACATACTTTAATTAGCATGTTAATGGCAATTATGACAGGGTCCTGATAAGATCAATCAATGGCTATTAGAGCAGACAGCAGATCCAACCTGACACATAGGGTGCCTTTAATACCAGAAACAGGACTGGAGAAAACGGGCAAGCACATCAAATGCAAAATGAGAGCTCCAAACACATATTCACAGGATTTTGAGCCACTGTTCATAGATTAGCTGGTAGGCTACACTTATGTTGGCAAAGCATTGATGTATCAGATGGCTCTTCCTCTCTAGATGGTTGAACTGGGCCTTGCTACCACCTCCTGTGGGACACCAGAAGACTGTCAATTCCATCTCCGGCCCTTGACTGAGAGCATTTTCTTTTATAGCTCACTCACCTGCTCCTCAATACCACCACATCTGTCAACTTTTGGTGGTGCTAGGAAAAATGTATGCTGCTGTTGAGCACTCAAGAAATAAGAGATGCAACCTCCTCCTGTCACCAGGTACCAACTATGGGGTGACTTACTCCAAAGCAGGACAAAGACACCCAGCAGTGAGAGTAACCAGGGAGATAATATGCTACTGTTCTAGTCTGCTAGCATGCTTCAGCCACACATAAATATAAAAAGGGAATCACAATTTCCTCTGTTTCATTTGTATACCTCCAATGAACCCTACGAAGATAAGCATTTCCTTCTGGATCTGCCACTATGAAGTATAACCTGGAAGGAAAAAAGAGTCTGCTGACCAACCCAGCTGAACTGCTATGATCACTAACATCTGTGCTTTCAAGAGCAGTAAGACAAAATGTCTATCGCCTGTCCAACTGGTGAGAAAAGCAGGTAAGACACAAAACAGTTCTAATATGCAGGACGTTTTCAGAAGAGACTTTTATAGCACTACCACCATGCCTTATCTGTGGAATTTTATGGGTTGTCTAGAGAGCACTGCCTTCCAGTCATAACCCTCCCAGGTTTTCCCACCAATTTTCCTGAGTATTTTCTTACCAAAGAAAATCTGGTAAGGAAAAAAGATGGAATGGCTGCACACTGCTTTCTGATAAGTAACATCAAGAATCTAGAAGCCCTCTCTTTATAAGCATAATCTTAAAAATATACCTTCTTACAACAACGTATGCATTGTGAATGCAGGAGAATTGTAGAAGCTACTGGAGAAAGCACATATGCATATACCTAAACATTGCTTACTATGCTTTTAACAAGGAAAGTGTGATAAGTGCGCCAGCAACAGATGTAAATATCCAGAGACCAAACCCACAGATGTCTGTGTGAGGGCGAGAGACTTCAAGAGGGGGTTGGGAAAAGGCCTGTAAAGTCTCCATGCACCAGTGGGTACAAATTTCTGTTGGGTCACAGGAAGTGAGTGGCTCCTTACTGGACTAAAGATCCCACTGCAAGAGGAGAAAAAAGGGTATACTGCTTCTTTTATTGACAGGCATGCTTGCTTTGCCAACCGCTATGCTGCACTTGGGATGACACAAAGAGATAAATACCACTGGGGTTAGAGGGAAGTACTCACACTTCGGCAAAAGTGACATTTTGATCGGCTCAATTACAGACAATGATTTATTAAAACTGAAATGCAGAACAAAGGCATTGTACAAGCACAGAATCTAGCCTTTTTTGTTACTTCACAAAGGTTTTGGTCTGTTTTGTTTTCCAGTTTCTGACAATGGAATATATTCTTAAGGGAAAATACAGATCTGTGAATGTTATGCTCTCTCACTCCCTCAATCTGGTCAAACTTGACATCAAGTGAGTATGGGGGGGGGCGCTAAAAAGTAACATCAATAGAGTAATAATGGCAAACACAGCAAAGACACAAATCAGGCTATAAGGACAAATAGTGTGAAATAGCATAATGGTCGCTTCCTATGTTCCTAATCTTCCTATGGCTCTTTAACCCTTCCACCTAAACATCTACCCCTGCTACTTTCCCATCCACAGCAGGAAAGGATCAAGGTTCCCATATCTTTTCTGCTATGGATAGGAAAATAGCGCACTCCAACTGCTTTACTAAAGCTGGCAGGCTCTTGCTGCGGCTTTCCATTGAAAAGCAAAGCCAATTATCTTCCCATAAATCTACAAATTATCTAGTTCAGTCCTCTGTGATGCTATTTTCACCCCACATCTTATTCTTTAAAAGCAAAGAGAATCACACAATTTCCATAAAACACAGCACATAGCCCCTCATGCATTTGTCCACATCCCACTAGCAAAAACTCTCGAAGAGAAAACATACAGACTACACAAAGGTCATCAATAATCAACTGCACTAGGGCCTATAAATAACTGCTGATTTGCTTTTTGGTAGTGAAAGAGCTCATAATCAAGTTCTTGAATCAAGGAATAAAAACCCTTCCACCTGAAGCAATTAACCAGTCCTTATCAACACTACCTGCTGAGCTATCAAATGAGAGTATGATATAGTCTATTGATTCTAAACTGCACTCAGAGCCTTTACTGCTTGAAGTCAAAGTTACGACATGAAGAGCATGCTGAAGTTAAAGGAATGGCTAGAAGGTGCAATAAAGTACCAAGCTGAATTATTCTAAAACCTGAATATATCGACCAGGCAATGAAATAACATATAAACACAAGACACAGAAACACAGAAACAGAGCGAGTCAGAAGGGGCTTACCAGGCCATCTAGTCTGACCCCTGGCTCCAGCCGGCTCTGCTCACGACATGCCCACCATGTGCATGTCCGGCCTATGCTTGAACGCCTTCACCAATGGGGCTTAAAACACCTTTTGTGGAAGCTCATTCCATACCCTCGGGGTCCTAACTGTCAGGAAGTACTTCCTGGCATCCAAAATGACCTAACTTAGTTCCCTGAGGTTTGCTCCATTGGAATGCATCCTGCCCTCCTCCACAAGGAAAAACAGGTCTTGACCCACCTCCGTGTGACACCCCCTCACATACCTGTATTTCTCAAACAGATCCCCTCAGAGTCTCCTCTTCTCCAGTTCCCTCATTCCTGCTTCTTAGGGCTTTCCCTGCAATCTGGCCACCATCCTTGTGGCCCTACGCTGCACCGATTCTAACCTGGCTACATCCTTCCTGTAATGTGGAGCCCAGAACCCCGCTCTTGTCTACCCACCTTGAAACCTTCGCATAGAATTCCACAAGGTTCATCTGGCCGGACCTGTTTTTGTGGAAGCCGTGTTGCATGGCCGCCAACCTCCCTTCCCTATCAAGGGTTACTAGATCTCTTGCTATTAGGAACCTTTCTGTTCTTTCCTAGAATGGACATAAGGCTAACCAATTGGTAATTCCCCATGTCCCTTCTACTACCCTTTTTGAAAATTGAGACCACTGACACCACCCTCCAGTCCTCTGGAACCTCACCCGTTCTCCACGAGGCCTCAGAAATGGAGGCCAACTCTCAAAGTACCCTTGGGTGCAACCTGTCAGGGCACAGTGACTTTGTAATGTCCAGTGCCCTGACTCTTATCTGTGCCCCTAAATCCCCAGTCTCACTTGCCCCCCCCATGCAGATCTCCCCCATCCTGCTTTGCAGAGAACACAGAGGCAACATAGGCAATTAGCATCTGTGCCTGTTCCCTCACATCAGTCACTGGATCCCCTTCCTCCTTATTAAGTGGTCCCACCACCTGTCTCCCCTTCCTCTTGCTATTTACATGTTGATAGAAGCCCCTTTTGTTACTCCTGATATTTTTTGCAAGTCTCAGTTCATAATCAGCCTTAGCCGTGCGAAGAATCCTTCGGCAGCAGGCCTCCTCCCCCCATATAGCCTTTTGCCTACTTGCCCCAGTGCCCATTTCCTACAGAGAAAAGGCCATGCTGGCTCAGAGCAACGCTCCATCCAGTCTCATCTGGGCTCGGTGATTTATTAACTTTCAAGTTCTGTCAGTAAACCTGAGAATGTAATTTCTTGTCATTATTATCTGCCTTAATTCCTCAGACCCTTCCTGAAAATATCAATTCAGGAACAGGTATCTGTTCTGTATCCTTCTGTGAAAACAGATGAAATCTCCTTAGGCCTCTTTAGTGCTCCTTTGATTCCAGTATCATCCAGTGGTCCAACTGCTTCTCTGGGTGATTTCCTTCTTTTGATATATATTCTTATATTGTATACTTGCATCCCCCTTTCACAAGTTTAAGCCACTTTTTGTTTGCCTGATTTGGGCAAGATTTCCATTTCTCGAAGAAGGACTTTTTGAGCCTAATAGTTTCCTTGAGTCTACTTGTTAACCATAGTGGGGACCCCTTCTTGGACTTCATGTAATCTTTCCTAACTTGTGCATACGATTCTGTACCACTATTATTGTTGTTTTGAGCAATCCCCATGCATTTTGAAGAGATTTAACCCTCTTTACTCTCCTCTTCAACTTCTTTTTAATGGTTTCCTCATTTTAAGATATTTTCCTTTTTCAAAGTCAAACATGGCAGTGTTGGACCTCTTTAGAAATCTTGCACCTAATTGCATACTAAAACTCTTACTGTTTCCAGTTGGTTCAACAGCATTTACATCCTTTAGCATGTCTTGGGCAACCCCATCTAAGGTTAAATTCCGGATTGTCTTCCCTCTGGTTGATGACCAACTCTTCTACAGCACATTCGTTTAGGATTATCAAAAAATTTAACCTTTCTGTTAGAACGAAACCATACATTAATCCAGTGAATGTGTGAGTAGTCAAAGTCATACATTATCACAGCACTGCTTTTGTCTGAGACCTTCCTGATTTCATTCTCTATCTCCTGATTAGCTTGAGCAGTCTGATCTGAAAGATGATAGCATATTTCTATGACTAAATTAGTTCTGGAGCCAGATATTGTCATGCACAATGCTCCTGTTGAGAATTCTGCAGATTTTAGATTTTCAAGCGAGCTGGACTGTAGGATCTCAATGACATGCAGAGAAACAACTCCTCCAATATGCTGTTCCCTCCTTCCTATACAGTTTGTACCCAGAGATAACTGTATCTCATTGTTTCTCTCTATTCCACCAGGTTTCTGCAATGACTACTATACCCAGCTTCTCTTTAAAAGCAGGCACTCCAGTTTTCCATGACAAGACTGGAAGAAACCCAACACTTCCAAATGGGACTGTTCTTTTCAAAATTTTGGGGAGGGCAGGGGGGTACATTTATACTGTTAAGTATGCTCTGCATTCCAGTTTAAGGAAATCGTTCAGAGATGACAGATTTTACACACTCTTCTCAAATATGGGTCAAGCTAGTCCCCAATCTGTTCTACATTAAAACAAAAAAACAAAAGGCAGAATTTGCATCAGGAAAAAAGGGCAGTAACAAGACTTGCTAAGATTCCAACAAAGAATTGACATTATTCAAATCACACACTCAGTACTACAGCATATCCTGGAGACCCAGTGTGTTGTAGTGCTGACAGAGTTGGACTGAGATTTTGGAAAACTGGATTCTAGTACCCACTTAAACCATGGAACTCACAGGTAATTTTGGGCTTGTCATGGTCTCTCAGGTTGACATACCTCTCAGGATTATTGTGAAGATAAAATGGAGGAGATCCTTGTAAGCTACCTTGAGTTCTTTACAAGGGGAAGGATGGTGGGGCATGACAACAATAATAATAATAATGCCAAAATATGTCCAATTCCTCAGAAAACAGATCCACAACATTAATTTTTATGCTTCAGCCGTGAAGTCTGTAGGCAAGTTGTTTCTTTACCTCTGCTCAAACTGCCTGGTGACCTAAACTTGGACTTTCACAGGGACTATGTGATTTGGCCCCCCATATAAAAATCTAAAAATATATTGTTATCTGAAAATGTAGCAGACTGATGGGCGGGGCACCAGACAGTCAGTCAGTTAACACTGGTCTCCCACAAAGAAGGAACAAAACTGAGAATGTGAAGATGTTATTTTATCTTTGCTGGGATTTTTAATGTTCAATGTTACGATCAATCATTGCCTTGTTTGTTGTTTTATTACTTTATGTGCATTCACTGAAGTTTAATGCTATTTTGTGATATTTTTTATCAGACTAGAGAGTGCTATATAATTCTTTTAAATAAATAAGTAAGAATGTCTTGTGCATCTATTGTTCCCAGCTTCAACTGACAATTCAAGGAGTGGCTGCTAGAGGCTGATTCAACACATGTGAATCAATCACAGTCTCTCTGACTTGATTGATACAAGACACAGTTGTATCAATGTGCATAACTTACTTATTCATCAGTACCAGGAGCAGAATGAACTGTACCGTTTTTCTGGAAGTCAACGGTAGCTACCCTACACTGTAAATGCTGCAAGAGCTTAAAGAAAAGGACACACTGGAGATCAATGTATCTTGCACACACCAGCTGAATGGAGAATTACCAGCCTGGAAACATTTGATCCATACATTTCTACTGTTGACTGCAGAATAGATCATATACTTTCTTTAAACAAAGGGATACATTTCCCATGTTATCCTTCCAGTTTGGATGCAGTATTCATTTATTTAAGTCACTAATTCCTAAACTGTGTATTGGGGCACAAACATTTTGCAAGAAAACAAATCATTTTTTAAAAATGTAACATTTCTAGTGCAGTCCAAGGGACTCGCCTACCCCCAGTGCTACCTATTACATTTCTATATATCATTGGCTTCCTAAAGGACAGGGTGGACAATCCAATAAGAGTTTGATTGGATCATTCAGTCATTCCAATTGCAGAGACATGGCCCCTTTAGGAAAGGAACATCTAGAACAGTGACTCGCATGGAAGAACAAGTGGTGAGAACAGGTAGTTCTTACATGTGAACCCTTTCTGGGATGTTAAGTGAAATATATACCATATTTTAGTTCATGATAGATTAGCTGTTGGGAGTCTAAGACACCGCTTTAACTGATCATATGTGACCTTGTTTAAAAAACCACTTGGACTTTCACTAAGCGTCTCACTCCCATAAAAAAGTCTGGACACTGCTGGACTCTCAAAGCAGTACACAGAATACCACAAAAGTATGTCCCATTATGGACAACTGTAATGACAGAGCCAGACCCATGGATAAAACCCTTTCAATTATCCCCCAAACATGGTGATCATTTCCTATACATAAGATCATGCAATTCACACATTTTGTTTGCCCAAACAGCCACACACATGCAGATGGTAAGGCTAGTTCACTGAAAAGAAGAGGATTCTGTGAAGTCACTTTTAGTTTCTAGATTCAAGTGAACATATCATTTAAGAAACAAAAATACTAAGTATGTCAAGCAAGAGAAAACATAAAGATCAGCATACACAGACCACATGTGCTAACCAATCCACTTCCATTTATCATTTTTGTGTTTCATATGCCTTAGACAAATACATACAGAATAATCATATGAAAAACTAGGGAATGTGAAATTCAAAGTCATTATATATTTTTAATTGTGACATCATTTGAGGCAGGTGGCATAACAAATAAGAGAAATGCTGCTTGCATTCAAATGTTTGCACATTTTATTACACAGCTTCAGATAAAAGTATTTAAAAAGAGCTTCTAACCAGTAAAATTAAATCAAAACATGCAGGTCCAAATCAGACATTAAGATACACATACAACCGACTCCAGAAACAGTACTCATGTGCTTAGTTGCCCTTTCCAACATTTAATCTGTAGTCCAAATTACTCCTGGCACCACAATGATCTTTGTTTCCCTTTCTTTGCTCTTGTCAGAGAAAGTTCCAATTGCCTGTTTTAGGTTTAGACAAACCTAAAACACCGTCAGAATATGAGTAACTTGAAGTAGACAGGATGCCATGGATAGAGGGCAAAGAGGCAAAACATACAGCTTCCATTTTTAGTGGCATCACTAGTTCAACAAGGGGCAGTAGGGAAGAGAACTGAGGTTTCTACTCCCTAGGGGAAAATTTAATAACTAGGAAGGGAAGAGAATGAAACTTCCTCCTGGCATAATGGTGAGCCCCGAAAAAAAATACTGGTGCAAAAATTTATCCAGAAATATCTTAAGACTGTAAAGCAGGCCCATATCCTTAACTGATAACAGTCCAACTTATTAGATAGTATGTCAGAGTCTATCCCACTTTCATGCTTTTGAAGTTTCTTTGCCTCTTAGTTCCAAACAACATAAAAGGAAAGGAATGAATTCCACCAACAGCAAAGCTCCTATCTTCAACAAGATGCCAGGATACTCCATTGCTGGACTTTGGGCAGTATTTAAACCTTGCCCTGCCTCCAGTCCTGTTGCCTGGATCCTAGTGCATCTACCTACCTTGATTCCTGTCACTCACACCCTGGACCCTGACACAAAATAATCAGCTGAGCCCCACTTACACAGAAAGCCTGCAGTGACTAAAAATCACAAACTTACATGTAGAAAACCCTTGCTGGGAGAAAGAGTGCTAGCCACAGCCTCCATGACACATCCAATTGGCCTCTATCCAAAGTAGAAAAACAAAGATTTCAATATAAGGTGTTCTGAATTCACAGCTGGCTAAGTCAGACCAACTCTATTTCCCACAAGGGAGAACTGAACAGGGTTGTCCTTGCAGGGCTATTTTTCCTTTGGAGTACTTTTGAGGCAGACTTGATCACCCGAGTGATAAAACAATTTACCTGATCTGAAACTGAGCAGGGATAGACGATTAGTCCATGGGGGATGCCTGTGTCTTCAAATGGATGCAAAAGTTGTTTTATATTTTCCATCTCTTCCTGCACATAGCAAAAGTGACAGCAAAGGCATGCCTTTACCAGTGAAGTGCCTAATCAGTCATGCAATACATGGTTGTCCCCTCGCTTGCTACAGTTTTAACAATCATTAAATTGTTGTTTTATATATCATTGATTTTATTCTTTTATTATTTAATGTTTGTAATTTTGATTACCTATTGTAAACCACTTAAGAGATTCCTGTTGGAATAGTTTGGCAGCATACAAAGACAGACAGACAGACAGACAGACAGACAGACAGACAGACAGGGTGATTCCTACTCAGGATCCCTTTGACCAGCCAAAAAGAACCTTAGCTTCTTTAGAATTTCCCAAGTGCAAAACAATAAAAAGACACAAACAGAAAGCACATCATAGCTGAAGAAATTAACAGCCATGATAACAGCCTGCCAGAATCCATATCCTCCAGCACCATCACATTTTCCCTTTTTCTCATTTCAGCTGCCTGTCTTTAAGAGATAACCCAGCACTATTCTCTGATGGCACTGATGCTAGGATTAAGCAACAATGCATCAGAGTGCACAGTTTTACCTCACATTCGTCTGTACTTAGCCACATCTAATCTTGCTTGACTTTAGCAAGTCATTTTCTGCTTGGACAGATTCTTTATTTTTAAGCTGTGGTACCAGTCAAATCTCACTTAAAATTCCCTGCGTGAGTTGAACTATCTGAAAAATGCCAGATTTAAGTTGGTAATTCTAACTCGAGCAGAACAACTTTACTGAGACATACCAAAATCATTGTCAAGTCTAGTATATACTTTGTAGCTTTGGTATGTATGATAAGCTATTAGTGCAGAAATCACACATGCTAGAGATTGTTTGTTGCTGTGTATGAATTCAGCAGGCATGATGAAGCATGGCACATTTGGTTATTATGAACCCCAAGGAGAAGCAACAGTCTGTTCTAAGGTTTCCACATTTAAGCATTCCTTGTAATTACATGTGAATGTTTTGCAGAGTTTCTCCATTTCCAGCAGCAAATTCAGTGGCAAGAGTAGCTGCTCCAGCTGCCATTTTCCACAGCCCTATTTCTTCTACCACCTGCTGAGCTACCAGCAGGCAAGTGCCTTTGCAATCCCTGTCCTCGTGCCCAGCACGTGCCCTGCCTTGCCACCGCTGTGTTTGCTGCCATGCCTGCTGTGTGGCTCCGTTGCCTCACTGCCAACCCCACTAAGGTGAGCAATGTTGTACATGGGATCCAGAATCAGGACTTGAGGCTGAGTGATGTCAAAGTCTCAAACTCACTCTGGTATCCATGCTGTACCCACCAATCCAATGTGACAGTTTCCCAGTTGGGAAGATAATCTTTAAGGAAGTCACCAAACAGAGCTGGAGAAAGGAATGAAAGACTGGTTTATGTTACTCATCAGCACTGCTTCCTCTCAACATGGTGTTCTCAGGTCAATGGAAGTTGTTGCTCCTGGTGCACCAGAAAATTGAATAGTGTCCTGATGTAATACAGCTGGTATTGAGTGGAGCAGCCCCAGGGCCACTTACATGAGCTCAGTGGTTGGTAAGGTCCACCCAGACATTGCCATGGCTTTCTGGACAGAGTCCAACCTCTCGTCTCTTCTCAAATGGAAGAGCTCTTCTCCACTGAATGGCATATTCTGAATATGACAGCATGTCTCCTGGGGTAGAATAGCTGCTCACAGTTGGGCACGCCTTCATATCACCACCCCACCAACATGGGCCTAGTGTCACAGTTGATGTGGTAGCACACTGTGTTTATTTGCTTTTTCAATAGCTGCATGGACTCAGTTATGAATGCTCTGGTGAGTTCCCTTTGTTGTTTGGGAAGAAAGTCAGCCAGAACTTCCATTTACTACCAAATAAAAACCTGGTACCTCCCCTTCATGGCTTCATATTTTGAGATGTGGAAGACCAGGCCCATGGAAGAGTAAGTTCATCTCACCATCATGTCCAGCTGGTGGTCCTCATGATCAGTTGAAGTGGAGAAGAAACAGTATGTCTGATTCCTGCACTCTGTGCATGCTCTTGACCCTTCATGAGGTTGGGTATAGTTAGGTGGGTAGCTACCAAGGATCCCTTATGGTGTGAGGCAGTGCTGGCAAGAATGGTATAGCTACTGGGACGGAGTCCTCCATTTGGACAAAGTTGTACATGGGATCCAGAATTAGGACTTGAGGCTGAGTGATGTTGCCATGCAAAGGACCTGCTCCAACAATCAACACTGGGAAGGAGATCCCAGCCCTGGGAGGATAGGTTGCTCTCCAGGTAAGTGGAGACTTGTTGTTTGGAAGCCTGATGTGTGTCCATATCAGAGGCTGGGTCACATGACATCAAGCTGGCAGATGGTGAGG